GGGGGGCCCCCCCGCGGGGTGGGCGTGCTGGCAGCCCCCCCAGCTGGGCTGTTTTGGGGCAAGGAGCGGGTGTGAGCGGCCACTTACTCGATGTCTGCCATTTTGATCAGCAGCTGGATGCGGACCGAGGGTGGGAAATCGACTGCAGGGAGAAGGAGATGGCGTGTGTCAGTGTGGGCTGGGGGGGACGGACGTGGTTGTCCCCCACGGGGTCAGCCAGAAGCCAGCCCCGCAAGGCCCTACCTCTGTGGACAAAGAGGTGGATCTCGGTGAGGATGTCCTGCAGGGCCAAGCCCTTCAGCGTCTTCAGCTCCGTGATTTCTGCAATGCGAGCGAGTGAAGGGCTTTCTTCCAGGCCTTTCCCTGCGAGATCCCACTCCTCATCCCTGTGACAACCCCAAGGACCCTCCCCAGCCACCAGCACCCACCCCAGCTGGAGCAGGAGGGCACAGGCCGGGAAGCCCCAGCAAAGAGGAGGATTTACAGCAGCGGGGATTAAACCCCAGGGCCAGCAGAGGGAAAAGGATACTGCGATAGGCGGTGGAGAAGTCCTGGTTCAGCATCCAGTCGAGGATGTTGGCGATGTCAGACTTGAGGGGGTGTCCCGTGCAGGTGTAGACGTTCTCCTCTGTCACCTTCCCAAAGGCCATGGTGGTGCTCTGAGGAAGAGGAGGGTGGAAGAGGGATGAAAAGCTGAGCCCTTCCTCCACCGGCAGCTGCCTGCCTGGGGATGACCGCTGCCGGCTTACCCGGGGGCAGAGCGGCCGTGGCCACGGTCCGTACCTGCAAGATGTTGAGGGCTCTGCGCATGTCACCGTTGGAGAGGGTCACCAGAGCCTTCATCCCGTCCTCAGTCACATCCACCCTGGAAAACAAGACCTGGGGCTGTGGAGGGAGCCAGCGCTGCCGGAGGGAGAGAGAACCGTGGGAAACCAAGCCCGCTGCTGCTCCCTGTGTAGGGGAATGGGGAAGAACGGGGTGAGGAGGACGCTGCGGAGCCCCCCGCATCCCGCGTCGCCCTCGGCTCACCCCTCCTCCTGTATGACGTGCTGCAGCCGGGGCACCATCAGCTCCGGGGTGAGGGGGCCGAAGCGGAAGCGCGTGCAGCGGGACTGCAAGGCGGGGATGATCTTGGAGAGGTAGTTGCAGATGAGGCAAAAGCGGGTGTTTTCGGTGAACTTCTCGATCACTGCAAAGGGGAGGGAGGAGAGGCTGGCCCTGGTCTGCTGCCTCATACAGGCTCTCACCCCGTGGCGGGCTGGGAAAGGCTGAAGGGGTTCCAGCGGTGTGGGGTGCCCAGCGCCCCGCACCTCGCCTCAGGGCATTCTGAGCGTCCTGGGTCATGGCGTCGGCTTCGTCCAGGATGACGAGCTTGAAGCCTTTCCTTAAAAAGGGAGGAAAAAAGGGGTGGTTTTGGTCCC